CTATATTTCGATTATTTAATAATGTCTAAATGATGTAATATTAGAAAAATATTTAATTTGGTTGACCTGTCGTGTTAACCATTCAAAATGTTAAGAGTTACGTGTTGATTTTACGAAAACGTGATTCAGCATATTCTGAGCATTACGCCGGAATGTCATGAACTTTTTCTCAGTTCAGGATACACACAAACACAAAACTAAACTCATGTACCTCGCTAGTACTTTACTATTGAGCGAAACAATAAAAGACTCTCTTGATTGCTGTACCAATAGCTTTGTTTTGTTAAATTAAATAAATCGTTATACTTAAGATGATATTTAATTCCATACCCTAAAGCAAACCCGAAATATATATTTTTACATACATGAAGTGTTTTAATTGAAATATTTAGTTTTCTGTAGAAAAATTCAGCTGTAAGTCATCATACATCTGGTTAGTTAAAGCGGTATTAAATACGTTACAAGTGATGTTGAACATAATTTAAATGTGTGTGTATAGATAAAGATAGGTGTGGAAGTAAGTGCAGTTTACGACAAGGAAGTAATTAAATATTGAGGTACAAACGTTGTACAGTCTTTCATATTTTGTTTTGTAATTAGGCGTATACTGTCTGGCCAAAAAATTAGAAATATTGCTCTATTAAGATGTTGAAGCACGTGGCACGGACTCCACTAATTTCTGGAGTGCATCATGTTAGACTTTAGTCGTTACCTTTTTCTCCAGTAATATTATCTCCAACTTCTTCAGGGCTGAAGGTAGAGAATATGCTTTGATAGCAAACTACAATACGCCCACAAAGATTCCCAACTGCGTGGATCGAGATATGGCAATTATGGCAACCTGTCAGGATGGTGAAACTCATTCTCATGCTCTTCAAATCCACCTCAAAGAAAACCGGTGTGGTGGTTAATGATACAGTCGTATCGAAAATATCCACTCCCTTGAGGAAGAAAACGGAATGTAAAAAAGTGCGCTTGATCCCAAAGGATGCTCAGCAATTTGCAGGATGTAATGCAACAATTCAAAGAGAATAAGTGACCAGACGATTCCATCAAAATACATCCAACATCTTTACTTTACCTCAGCAGTTTGCGCAGTGAAACAACCCACGGAGGATTGAAAATTTCATGAAACTATTGCCATTATTTGACACTTCAATCCGTAGTATATAACACGAATCAAGACAATGGTCAACAACATTCATTTCTCGCAGACATCTGCCAGTTATTCGCAGTTAACAATAATTACCCCTTTTAAGTTAGACACATCTTTAACTGTTTTCACCCTGAAGAAGACTAAGGCACAAAATAACCTGCTTAAGCTAGTCATACTGGATCATTAGTCAAAACTAGACATATTAAGTTGCATGTTTACTTGTCAAATATAAGAGGGGTTTAAATTTTTATCCATACAATGTATATTAAAACCTCATCTAGGGTACGTTTTCTTCCGAATACGAGTAGAAAAAAATGGCTTATTGTTAATGATATATTCCGTTAGACGATTCTTATGTATCCAGTATAGGACATAAACACAAAATGTGTTGAAAAATATTTTATGTTTGATAGATTTCTATGATAATTACACTAACAATTATCATAAAGAAATAACAAGTCTCTCAAGGAAGTAAATAATGTAGCCCGAAACTGAGGTATTAATACTTTAGAAATAGCCTATAATCTATACTATAATATTTAAACACATCGGATATCTGAAGGGGAAGAGTGAACTACAGAAACTGTTATTTGTTATTATTATATACAGCTTGATGGTTTGTTATATACTCTATACAGCACTGTTTGAAGATATTATATATATCTGAAAGGGAAGAGTGAACTCCAGAACTTATTATTTTTGATTATTATATACAGCTTGATTGTTTGTTATATACTCTATACAGCACTGTTTGAAGATATTATATTTATCTGAAAGAGAAGAGTGAACTACAGAAACTATTATTTGTTATTATTATATACAGCTTGATGGTTTGTTATATACTCTATACAGCACTGTTTGAAGATATTATATATATCTGAAAGGGAAGAGTGAACTACAGAAACTATTATTTGTTATTATTATATACAGCGTGATAGTTTGTTATATACTCTATACAGCACTGTTTGAAGATATTATATATATCTGAAAGGGAAGAGTGAACTACAGAAGCTATTATTTGTTATTATTACATACAGCGTGATAGTTTGTTTTATTAACCACGTCTGAGACTGAAACTAAATGTGTATACTATGGTACATCAACTATGTCGTTGAGCTCAGTATCCTCTATTGTTCTACTCATAATGTGTCTTGATTAATTAATAAGAAAAGAAGAGATACTGGAGAATAAAGTTCACCAAAGTCGAATCTTCTCACCACACACATGACACGTTGTCGTTGAAAATACAAAAATAAATAACAAAGTAACTAGAAACACAATTTAAAACCGTTTTCAATCTTAATTGTCGTTTTGGACGATTGACCTTCTTCACACTTACAGTAAGTGAACATTTCTTCTCAAATATGATAGGTCAAGATTTCAAGACCAAATTTTGAGTACATACCTTCCATTATGATGAATATAAATAACGCATACTTTAGTTTATCTGTTACAACTACTACAGATGCTAAATCACTGGGACAAAAGTCATTGAAAATTAAGTACATCTGTTGCGAAGTTCCAAGCTTACTGATAGCCTAAAAGCACTAAATTTGTGACAATTATGAAAATCATGTCATAAATATAAGCTTAAGTCGGTTAAACATGAGCTCGTGTTGGCCTTGTAGTACAGCTTGAATTTCGGGTTCGAATCCGTGCGATACCATAAAATAATCCCCCCACTTGTTGTGGATGCACTATAAAAGAGACATTCAATCTCTCAGCGTGGACGGTGGGATGTAGGGAGCTACTGACTGGCTGCCTTCCCTCTGGTCAGTAGTTCAAAATTAGGGATGGCAGCAGATAGCCTTGGTAGATTTATCGTAAATACAAAATATAAATAAGTAAAATCATAAGTCCATAAAACCGTTGTAAGTGGAAAACATTTTAATATGTGTACTTTAATTCGAAAACCGTATATATATTACCGTTGCTCCTGTTTTCGGCTGGTGTAAAATTTATTTTTTAAAACCTTTTCTTCTTTTTTCAGACAAACAGATTCCACGACAACAACGTAACGATAAATTGGAACAAATCATCCACGTAATGCAGACACATCTTTATAACAGAACGCCATCATTAATGGCTGCCTGAAGTAAGTATTGATTCTTCAAATTCTTCTTGTTAGAATAAATATACACGTACTTCCACCAGAAAGTGCAACTTGTTAAGTTATCTCTACGTTACGTATTTTAGGTTTCTTTCGGATAAGGCAAAAAATCGAAACCTGTGTGATAATCCAAACACTTCAGAACGGAGAAAGTTATTATAAACAACACAGACCTTCGAGTATTAATTATAAATAATGAAACAAGTGTACCTTCTTTCAAATATCGCAAACAAATCTTCTGTATTATTTATTAATTAATTCAGATTTAATTGAGTTAGAATTCAAACAGTTTCGGGTAGAAAACTTAGGATTTGTACGTTTGTAGGGTTAATACAGCTATGAAATCAACAGTTCCATTTCCTAACAACTTGCGTTTTCACATTTAATATTCTATGTTTTAAACTATTGAATAAAGAGGAACTTCAATGAAGAATTACCATTATAAGTATTTACCAGATACAATCCACTTATTACTCTCTTTATTTTAATGTAACTGCTTTAATAAAATATGAGTTTACAATACTTCATCTGATAAAATAGAAAAATAAAATTCTCGCTCAGAAAATTTCATTCAGTGATATTAAACCTGCTGATATTCCACAGAGGGGGGATAAACAATATTGCCAAGTTAAAGAAAAAAATTATTATAACTATGCTTTTTACCATCAGAGGAAATTTTACACCAGCTAAAGAGGAACATCGACGCATAAGTTACCTGCTCGAACTGCAGTTTACGTAAGAACTATTACTTTAGGTAATCTGGTTAACAAGGTTGAAGAATTATCTTTACCTATTGGGTTACATTACCTCAAACCTGAACTAGTTTATATACTGATTTACTGCACTCTAATAAATAAATGAAGAATTAAAGGTGTGATATTACACATTTTTGTGTGTGAAAGTACTGATACAGGAGCTACATTTTGAAAAGTGTGAATTCACACACTTAGTCAGAAAAGTGATTTTATACCAACAACAGAATTATTAAATATTAATATTTGTATGAATCCATACTCCATATAATTAATCTCAACTGTAGGTGTATACATTTTGAATAGTTACCATAAAATACTAAATGATTTTATTAACAGTTATTTTTTTATATTTCATTTTCACGTACCACTTACATGATTTTCCGTTCTGTTTATAAATTCACATATTTACACATACATAGCAGGAGTGTGAACTTTTAGATTTTGCTTAGATATTTAAAAAAAATATGCTTAAAGGATATTTATATCAAACTCAGACATTCGTCCGTATATTAGCATTACTGTTTTATATTGTTTAATCTTTGCTAGTTAACTGGTAATTATCCTCAACACACAGATACTTTTTTACAGCTCCAAGTAATACTAATAGCACTGTATGGGGTGAGAAGGTCATAGGGTTAGACTTTAGTTTACGTGTGAGGTTTGATGGACTTAATAATTAATGGCTAGAACTAACCTGCGATCATATTTGATTGGCCGAATACTATTTGTTAAACTACTATATTAGTTTCTATGGCAAAACTCAAGAGATTTCAAGTGGTTCAGATATTATTTTACAATGTGAACTGAAAGAAGCTCGAAATTGGATCATAGTTTATTTAGTAGTAAGTTTTTCATGGTAGCTTGACAAGATAATAATTTATGTCAAAAACTGTCGCGTTTAATTGAAACTTCAACAGCAGTTCTATTATGGTTTAGTGATAATTCTTCTCAGATTAATAACACTGCGCGTCTGCCTTACCTTTTAATGGGATACTGGCAGTAACCACTTGGGTCTTATCCTTCTTCTTTCGCTTGAATAACCATAACATCTTTAAAACCATTCTACAAAGAAGCGTGACTCTACAAATAGTCTCTAATCGTTTTTTGAAATAGATTCTCAATGCAAAACCCTGCTTAACAAACGGTTTGTTCAACGAATCAAATCAAACACGCACTTGAAACTGTTGGTATATTCCTAAAAGACCTCTCCTAGTACTTCTTCCGTATCTGACACCCGGTATCTCTGTGGTTTATCATTCTGTCTGCCTTGGGCTATTGGAACGGTTAAACGACGTCATACTGATCTTGCGCGAGGGTATTGGCTTAGCCTATGCTCATGCCGTACAGCAAAATCCGACTCAATGAATTATATTTCAGGAAATGCCCTTAGGGGGCGCTGTTAAATTTAAATACTTAATTTATTTAACCGAAGTGAACATTCTAAATACTTAATATAATATATTATTACATACTTAAGTTGTCTAACGGAAGTACATATATAATTATTAAGGTGTCCAAATAAAATATATATATACTTCGATCCTTACGGGTTTTTTAAGAAATATGTACTTAGGTCCCTACGTTACTCACGTGAAATACATACATAGATCCCTATGTTATTCACGTGAAATACATACATAGATCCTTATGTTATTCACTTGAAATACATACATAGATCCTTATGTTATTCACTTGAAATACATACATAGATCCTTATGTTATTCACTTGAAATAGATACATAGATCCTTATGTTATTCACTTGAAATACATACATAGATCCTTATGTTATTCACGTGAAATACATATAAAGATCCTAAACAAGATTACAACACTTATGTTATTCACGTGAAATACATATAAAGATCCTAAACAAGATTACAACACT